TTTTGGAGTAGCCATTTGCCTGTAGGGCCCAATTCAGGTGGTCGAGTTCAGTGTTGAGAAACTGAGCTTCACAGTTCCGATGCCCCAGGTAAGGAAGGGAGGGATCCGGATCGTGTGTGGGGGAGGGAGCAGGAATGAGCCGATCCTGTGTGTCTGGGGGGCCCGGGGTGGACTTGGGGCTGAGACCCTTCCAGATGTTGGCGATCATAAAACGTCCAGAGGAGAGGATCGCTTCCACCCCCAGAGTTGGAATACTTTTTCTTAAAGCGGCAGGGAGGGAGCGTGGAGGGTTGTGTGAAGGGTGCCTTATGACACGTGTTGGAACCTAAGAGGAAACTAGGGACCCTGACCGAAGGGACAGAAACTATAAAAGGAAGATCCAGGCCTGGATAGACCCCATGCTGTAGCTTTTCTGATTCCTCTGCCCGGGTCGGATTAAAATTCCCATCATCCTCAGTTGATGGGGATGATGGGAGAAGCAGCAGCCAGATAGCACATCTGAAGAATGCCAGGCTGAGGGCTTTAGGAAGTCTGGAAGAGTACCAGCCAGGAGGCACTCTGTATATGCCCAGAGTTTCTGTGGCAGTTTCCCTGTTTTGTTGTCTGTTGAGCTTGGGTGACTCCAGACAGAAATAAACTCTGGAGTTTGAGCTAGTTTTCTCAGTTGGTGGGGTTTTGGGAGAAGAGAAGGGAAGTGCCTTGGAAGAGAAGGGAAGAAAAGAGAAGTATGTGAGGAAAGAAAGGTGGTGTATATTAAATATATATCTGAACGTGTAAATTATGAGGAGGGAAGTGAGAAGATACAGCTGAACACCAGGTTTCTGTCTGTGGAAAATGGAGAGAGAATGCAGCTTTAAGTTAAAAGAACTAGCCACGTCATCCAGGAGTGAAAACCAAAATCTGTGTTGAGCAACACGTGTATTGGATCCCTAGAACATTAACAAAGAGTGTCAGCTTTCCAGCTCCTACAGGATTCTTCACCAGAGACTGATGTTATAAGAATGGGAGGACAGAGGGAGTGGCCCCAAAATTTGGTTTAGAAAGTGGCCAAATGTTCTCGAAAGCAAACTGGCACAGGAGAGTGGATGTTGAAGATCCAGCCCCAGAGGAAGGCGTCACAGCATCATCCTACAGGTTCTGCCCTCCACGTCAACAGAAAGTGATCTGTTGATCTTGTACGTCCTGCCATTGACTTGGCAAAGGGACACAGGGTCCCCCTGGTTGGCTTGGAGCCAAAAACCAGGCAACAGCATTAGTAGACTTTATATCAACCTAGTTATTTGTTATCAGGGTAAGGGAAGGATGGGAAGCATTAGAATTGGAGCGGTTTGGTTCCAAACTAACAGAAGACGTCTAGGGACCATGTTTAATGGGATGCGACATTGGGAATAGGATCAAAGCATGAGCTGGACATTAAGAGGGAAAGAGGAGATTGAGTGAGGGGGAATGGATGTGAAAAACCCTAAGGGCTGCTCAGATAACCAATTTGGGCATGCGAAATCTGGTACCTCTTTTTTTCTCATTTGAGCATGCACGTTAGATTAGAGTGAGCTTCTAAGGGTTGGTTTGTCTATGGAACTCATCACTTGAGACCCAAGCCATCAGGCGATAGATGCTGCCTCTCAACCACCCATAGCTACATCTTATATCCTGTGGGAGAGGAACAGTTGTGGGTCTAATTTTGTCCTTTTCTTCAGGAATACAAAACTAAGTCTACTAAAGCAAACATCAGGGGTCTTCCTACTGTAAGCCCTATCATGTGTGTCCGAATTGAGGACAGAGAAGTGTGTTGCAAATAAAACCCCACCATTCCATAGATCACTTCTAAAACATATTTTTTAAAAAATAGTGGAAAGGAAAACAGAGACTGGCGGAAAAGCCTTGGAACCTACACATGCATTAATTTAACAGAAATATTCATGTAATTACAAGATGTGATGAGAATAGACCAGGGTGGTTGTATTTATTAATAGAGGGAATTGTCACAAACAGTTCAGTACAATGTTGTCATAGTTCTAATTCATTACCCTTTTATATGACATACAGGAGACACTCTGCAGATGAAATGCTTGGGGGGGGCAAACAAATTCAAGTTTCACCAGTTACACTCTTTGATTATTGGCCTTTATATTCTACCTTTCCTTCATTAACCTCAAGGGGGAGCTCACCTTTTTGATCCTCACAACAACCACAGACCACTGTATAATAACCCTAATCACTTCCACTTCAATGATCTATGGGGGGGGGGAACCTTCAGCTCACTGAAATCTTTGTAACTTCTGAAGGCTTTCCTGGGTATCTTAACAAAACCATTGTCTTTTGCCTTCGTGAAGCAAAACACACACACATACAGCAAGCATAGCGGGATTGACTGATCGATCAAAACAGAGGTGAGCAACCCATCCGAGGCAACTGAGAACAAAGGCTTGTTCTCTGCTGCCCCTAGAGGACAACTCTAGAGCTAACAGACAGAAATTGGATTTTGGTGGAATGTTAAGAGAGAATTCTGAACAGTAACAGCAGCTGAATGGTGGAACCTGTTCTGGAGAATGGAAGCCCGTCTGTCATTGAAGTTATTGAACAAGATGCCAGGAAGACCATCTGCCAGGGATGCTCTAGCTCTTGAATTCTGCAAGGAAGCAAAGGGCTAGGTTAAGTGTCCTACCAATCTCCTTTCAGTTTGGTAGCTCTGCAGAACTGGAATTATTGGAAAGGTATCTCATGGACTGCATGTACCCCATGGTGATTCCTGACAGTTCAGTGGCGCTTTGTCCCCGTTTAGTGAGCACAGTTTCCTCTTCTTCAGGGTCATAGTATGAGGAAGTCCAGTTATGTTCAATGGGGCTTGCACCCAGGTAAATATATAACCCCCAGGGTAACTAGGAACATGGGGGGTTATAGTCCCCAAGAATCCCCATCAGCATGGCTACAGACTGGCTGAAGGATTCTGAGAGTTGTAGTCTTAAAAAATACCTTCTCCAAGCTCTGTTAAAATTTTAGCCACTGTCGTAACTGCCCTGTCCTCATGATGTCCCACCTGCCATTGTGGGTCTGTCTCAGGAGAAATGATCTAAGGAGATGTTATCAAGACTTTCCCCCGGAATTTTGGCTTGGGGGTGGGTGGGTCAACGTCGATCATCATTTTGTAGGCTCATGACTCTGGGCACTGTGAATTTCTCCTCCTGCTTGTGTGCCGCTAAGCTGGAATGTATTTATAGAAGTATGAGGGCTACGTGGGTTCAGAAATGGCTTTCCATAGACAGGTTATTGCCAGCATTGATTTTGAACTGGAGAGCACAAAATTGCAATCTGGTGTCACAAACGAAAATGGATTCCCTGTTCTTCTTGGAATTGAACTGTCAGGCCAGTGTAACCCTCTGCTGCCCATCTGATAGCAGGTCTGTTTTCGAAAAGCCAAATTCAGAAATCTCAGGTGGAACAAGGACATCACATAACGAAGCCCTAATAAAATGTAATGACTTTGAATGAAATAGTATCACTTTAGTTTGAATTAATAAAACCACATGTGTTAAAAACAACAACCACCTTAAATACATGATGATTTTTCTATAGTTTCTGTTCTTGTTTATATACACAAAACCACTGGTGTAATTAAATATGCTTCAGGCCTTAGAGAACTAATTACAGAACTTTAAATCATAATACAATAGATTTCTTTCATTCCGGAATTCAGTTTAACTTACCAAATCGTCCTCTAAGATTCTCTTCTGATTATTTTTAAAGAAAGATGAAGAAACACATTCAATTCTCTATTTCCGTTTTTTATTTCCTCCTAAATATGTTGAGTATTAACGGAAAAGGATTTGGTCCCCATTAGAAGTGGGGGAAAAATTTTTTCAATGCACACAAAAAGAGTTAACGAATTTCGCCCTTCCCAAATCTATTTGTGGTTTAGAGTGGAACTAAGTTTGCAATTCAGTTTTTTTTTAAAAAAATGCATATATTAGGGAAATATGAGTCGAGTAGCATAAGAGAGGCAGCATGTTGAGTGCATTATATGGGGGATAGTCCTTGTTAAAATATGTGGCTACATTAAGTGAGAAAATGCCTACACATTGTAGAGGCTCTCTTTTCAAATTGCAGATGGATTTGGTAGGAACAAACTACAGTAATT